CTTTATTTGCTCTTTGAAAGTTAGATCTTTTCCCTTCTTTTCTCTTCTCTCCTCTGTTTTTGCTCTTAATGATAAGAAATTTGAACATTCCTTTGAGAAATAGCGATGATAATCTTTAACTACAAAATCCAAAATGGTCACCTGGAAACCATTTTGTTTCCTCTGATCAGTCCCAAAATCAAATGGGCACAACTAGAGACCAAAGGGAACTTACATTTGAAATTTGAGACAGATCCATTCAGTACTTCTTAAGAAATAGCATTAACAATTCTTACTAGGTGAAATGCAAGATGGCTGCCTGTTCACCATCTTGTTTTACGGTTTTATGGTAGTTCTCAAAAAATAGTGATAACAAAGATTATTTTCAGTCGGACACGACCACTGATGTAGGCCAATTTAAATAGCCCACTATTTGATGACGGCTGGCTAAAAATGTGACATGGTTATAGTTCCAAAGCCAAATTGGGAAATAAAGTGTAAGCCTAATGGAGGGTGTGAGGATACAGCAGTCGCAGAGAGAGATTTTCCTTTCCATTAGAAACCCATTAGTTGTTTCACATAAGGAAGGAAATGGAGGCTGAGGGTTGGCAATGGTTCATGTTTCTGGTGGACCAATCTATGATCAGGAGAAACATGGTCATTAAAAAGCATGAAAGAAAAGGCAGTAGTCTGGACAATATTCACACACTAAATTAAATAATCTAAAGAAAGTGATTGTCAGTCTGAGTATTTAATCAATGAAAGAATCATAACACTTGATAATAATCAAGAACAAGTCACAAGGAATTTATATCTGAAATTTTACAGCTAACTTCTTGCATTACAAGTCTATGGTGCAAACAAAAATTGAAAAAACTATAGCTACAATTGCTATCCTGTTAAAAGTTTTGTTACCAGGGCCCTGTTGTTAAGGCTTTTGTTACCAGGGCCCTGTTTTGTTAAGGTTTTTGTTACCAGGGCCCTGTTGTTAAGGTTTTTGTTACTAGGGCCCTGTTGTTAAGGCTTTTGTTACCAGGGCCCTGTTATTAAGGTTTCTGTTACCAGGGCCCTGTTGTTAAGGCTTTTGTTTCCAGGGCCTTGTTGTTAAGGCTTTTGTTACCAGGGCCCTGTTTTTGAGGCTTTTGTTACCAGGGCCCTGTTGTTAAGGTTTTTGTTACTAGGGCCCTGTTGTTAAGGCTTTTGTTACCAGGGCCCTGTTGTTAATGTTTCTGTTACCAGGGCCCTGTTGTTAAGGCTTTTGTTTCCAGGGCCTTGTTGTTAAGGCTTTTGTTACCAGGGCCTTGTTGTTAAGGCTTTTGTTACCAGGGCCTTGTTGTTAAGGCTTTTGTTACCAGGGCCCTGTTTTTGAGGCTTTTGTTACCAGGGCCCTGTTGTTAAGGTTTCTGTTACCAGGGCCCTGTTGTTAAGGCTTTTGTTTCCAGGGCCTTGTTGTTAAGCTTTTTTGTTACCAGGGCCCTGTTGTTGAAAGTCCATCTTCTAAGAATTTTGTTACCATTGGTCCTACTGTTAAGGGATTGGCTTTAAATGTCCTGCTCTTGTGGGTTTTGTTTCCAAAGTATTGCTGTTGTGAATTTATTTTGTTTATTGGGCCTTGTTGTAGATGTTACAGGTTTTTCCATGGCCCATCTTGTAAGGGTTTTGTTACCAGGACCCTGTTGTTGAGGGATTGATTTTAAGATTACTGCTATTGTGGGTTTAATGTTTGCCAGATTTCTGCTGTTGAGGATTTTGTTTCCAGAGTTCAGCTTTTGAGGGTTTTGTTTCTATTGCCCTGATTTTGTGGGGTTGTGTGCAGGGCCCTGATGTTGTGGGGTTGTGTGCAGGGCCCTGATGTTGTGGGGTTGTGTGCAGGGCCCTGCTGTTGTGGGGTTGTGTGCAGGGCCCTGATGTTGTGGGGTTGTGTGCAGGGCCCTGGTGTTGTGGGGTTGTGTGCAGGGCCCTGGTGCTGTGGGGTTGTGTGCAGGGCCCTGCTGTTGAGGATTTTGTCTCTGAAGTTCGGCTGCTGAGGGTTCCCTTTCTATGGTCCTTCTTCTGTTGGTTTTGTCTATAGGGTCCTGGTGTTGTGGGGTTGTGTGCAGGGCCCTGATGTTGTGGGGTTGTGTGCAGGGCCCTGATGTTGTGGGGTTGTGTGCAGGGCCCTGCTGTTGTGGGGTTGTGTGCAGGGCCCTGATGTTGTGGGGTTGTGTGCAGGGCCCTGGTGTTGTGGGGTTGTGTGCAGGGCCCTGGTGCTGTGGGGTTGTGTGCAGGGCCCTGCTGTTGAGGATTTTGTCTCTGAAGTTCGGCTGCTGAGGGTTCCCTTTCTATGGTCCTTCTTCTGTTGGTTTTGTCTCTAGGGTCCTGGTGTTGTGGGGTTGTGTGCAGGGACCTGCTGTTGCGGGGTTGTGTGCAGGGCCCTGATGTTGGGGGGTTGTGTGCAGGGCCCTGATGTTGTGGGGTTGTGTGCAGGGCCCTGCTGTTGTGGGGTTGTGTGCAGGGCCCTGATGTTGTGGGGTTGTGTGCAGGGCCCTGGTGTTGTGGGGTTGTGTGCAGGGCCCTGGTGCTGTGGGGTTGTGTGCAGGGCCCTGATGTTGTGGGGTTGTGTGCAGGACCCTGCTGTTGTGGGGTTGTGTGCAGGGCCCTGGTGTTGTGGGGCTGTGTGCAGGGCCCTGCTGTTGAGGGTTTTTTTTTATGGTCCTTGTTCTGTTGGTTTTGTCTCTAGGGCCCTGGTGTTGTGGGTTTCGATTGCTGAGTCAAATTGTTATAAATTGATGTTGCACATGGCAGCTTATCCTAGCAATGCAGGAACAATAAGAGATCCCAGAGGGATCCTTTCCCCTTATTTTCTCTTCTCTGTTTTTGCTCTTAATGATAAGACATTTAACATTCCTTTGCAGAAATAGCGATGATAATCTGTGCATGACAAATCCAAAATGACCGTCTGAAAGCCATTTTGTTTCTTCTGATCAGTCCCAAAATCAAACCAGCACAAGGGGAGACCAAAAGGAATATACATTTTAAATCTGAGAGATATCCATTCAGTACTTCTTAAGAAATAGCGATGATAATATTTACTATGTGAAATGCAAGATTGCTGCCTGTCTGCCATTTTGTTTTTCTGGTTAGTCTCAAAATCAAACGAGCACAAGGAGAGACCAAAGGAAACATACATATGAAATCTGAGAGATATCCATTCAGTATTTCCTAAGAAATAGAGATAACAATCTTTACTAGGTGAAAGGTAAGATTGCTGCCTGTCTACCATTTTGTTTTTCTAATCCAATCTAGTCCCAAACTCAAACAGCCACAAATAGGGTTAAAAGGAACCTATACATGAAATTTGTGAAAGTTTTATACAGGAGTTCTCAAGAAATAGTGATAACAAACTTGCAAAGTCAAAATACAAAATGGCTACCTGTCAGCCATCTAGTTTTTCTGATCAGTCCCAAAATTAGATGTGCATAACTAGAGACCAAAAGAAACCTGTATATGAAATTTGAGAAAGCTCTATACCATGGTTCTCAAGAAATAGCGATAACAAACTGGAAAAGTCAAAATCCAAGAAGGCCATCTGTTGGTGATTGTGTTTTTCTGATCAGACCCAAAATCAAATTGGCACAACTAGGGACTAGGACAACCTACATACAAGTTTTATACGTTAGAATACAAGATGGCCACCTGTCAGCCATGAATTTTTTTTTTTTTTTTTTATCAGACCCAAAATCAAACAGGCACAACTAGGGACCAAGGGGAAACTACATATAGAATTGAAGAAAGATCCATACAGTACTTCATAAGAAATAGGGATAACAAACTTTCAAAGTCAAAATCCAAAATGGCCACCTTTCAACCATTTTATTTCTCCAATCAGTCCAAAAACTACATGGGCACAATTAGAGTCCAAGGGGAACCTACATATGAAATTTGAGAGAGATACATCTTTTCTTTTTCAAGAAATAGTGATAACAAACTTCATTGCAAAAATCCATGATGGTTGCCTGTTGGCCATTTTGCTTTTTGACCAGTCCCAAAATTTGATGATGGTAGGCTAACGAAAAACCCAGTTTTACACCAGTCTTTTCTACTCATTTGGGATAGGCCTTTTTATTCCATTTTATAAAGAAAATTGATCAGTTAGGGAGGAAATTTTATGGAGTAAAATATAAATTTAGGCATTAGATAATACATAATAAATCAAGTTTGGAAAGGGATCCATATTCTGTCCCATAGAGCCCCCAGAAAAAATCTTTCTAAACACAAATACTAATTGTAATGGGGACCATTATATATGCACCTCAAAAACATTGTTGATGTAAATAGCGTAAGATTAAGATTGATCTGAAACACAATAAAAATAAAATATTTGAAGTTCCCCTCACTAGTCATCTCTGTAGGACAACCATTTTGTCTAATAACAAAAAGAAAAAAAAAATGCTTGTCATATCAGACAACACATTGTACCAATTTTCATTAAAATCATTCACTATGTAAATATCAATCAATCAAAAGGTCCCCTTGGTAGCGATTTTATTTAATCAGAAAATGGATTCCATCATTAAGTTATTATCAAATATCACATCTAAATTTAAACCAATCAGAAGCTGTTATGTGGCAGCCATCTTGTCAAATCAGAAAACTGTTGTAAACAAAACATCTACGTACCAATTTTCAAAGAAACAGACAATATCTATATTTTGACCAAATTTTGACCAATGAGAGGCTGTGGTTGAGTGGTTAGATGACCGATCAAAAAACTCTGGCATATCACCGCTCATACTCAATGAGAAAACATGACATTTATCCATCTGCAGACATGCAAAAATCTGACACTTACCATCTGAAGAGATGTGAAAATATGACACTGACAATCTGTATTGATGTGAAAAAGTGATACTTACCATCTGTAGAGATGTTAAAAGATGTGAAAACGTGATACTTACCACCTGTAGAGATGTTAAAAGATGTGAAAACGTGATACTTACCATCTGTAGAGATGTTAAAAGATGTGAAAACTTGACACTTACCATCTGTAGAGATGACTGCTCTGTCAACTCCACCATCTTCTTCTTTGATATACTTGAGGAAATCCCCAACTGTATGGGTGACTGGCTTGAGCGTAAATTCACAGGTCTCTTTTCGAGACGGTAAAGGCACAGTAAATACAGGTAATCCATCACGGTATATCACATTCGCTTCTGAAATTGGAAAAATCAAATTCATTTAAAAATAAGATATATATTTTCTTTCTAAAATACTTTTTTCTTAAAAACCATTCTTAATAATAATTTTAATGTTCTTTGCATGGTCAATTCAATATCTATAAAGGTAAGTTCAAAAAGGGTTATCTGGCCGACCAGAGGATAGCCCATTTGCCCTTTTCTGAGACAAAAAGGGTTCAATGCCAAGACAGGAAATTAGTCTCACCATTACTAAGTTTTTCTCTGGGCGGTGTTGATTTCTCCTCACAGTAAAACCCATACACACTATCATACCTGGGCAAACAAAATTTATATACTGAGTAAATTGGTAAATACTTGATTTGAATTTATTCTTTGTGTGAATATTATGTCAGCGGCTAAATATGCTAGAAAAAAGTTAAAGCACATGGAAAGATTGTACAGCAAATGTTTGCCTACTTGTTAACATAATGAGTCATTCAATGAATTCAGCCTAACAGTCATACCAGAGCAACATAATGAATTATAAAACTTGTAGCCATCTTAACTGTCTCATGGAAATATGTTGATACTGTCACAATGTTTCCTTAGATGTGATATAACAGTTTCAAGTTTAACAAAGAAATGTCATGTGAAGATTTTAGTGTTGAAACTGATTATATACAGTTAAAGCATGATATGTAATCAAAAGTGTAATATGTACCATTCAACCATGGTCCTATAACATGTACCATTGAGCCATGGTCCTATAACATGTACCATTCAGCCATGGTCCTATAACATGTACCATTCAGCCATGGTCCTATAACATGGTCCTATAACATGTACCATTCAGCCATGGTCCTATAACATGTACCATTCAGTCATGGTCCTATAACATGGTCCTATAACATGTACCATTCAGCCATGGTCCTATAACATGGTCCTATAACATGTACCATTCAGCCATGGTCCTATAACATAACATGTACCATTCAGCCATGGTCCATAACATGTACCATTCAGCCATGGTCCTATAACATGTACCATTCAGCCATGGTCCTATAAACATGGTCCTATAACATGTACCATTCAGCCATGGTCCTATAACATGTACCATTCAGCCATGGTCCTATAACATGTACCATTCAGCCATGGTCCTATAACATGGTCCTATAACATGTACCATTCAGCCATGGTCCTATAACATGTACCATTCAGCCATGGTCCTATAACATGGTCCTATAACATGTACCATTCAGCCATGGTCCTATTACATGTACCATTCAGCCATGGTCCTATAACATGGTCCTATAACATGTACCATTCAGCCATGGTCCTATTACATGTACCATTCAGCCATGGTCCTATAACATGGTCCTATAACATGTTCCATTCAGCCATGGTCCTATAACATGTACCATTGAGCCATGGTCCTATAACATGTACCATTCAGCCATGGTCATGGTCCTATAACATGTACCATTCAGCCATGGTCCTATTACATGTACCATTGAGCCATGGTCCTATAACATGTACCATTCAGCCATGGTCCTATAACATGTACCATTGAGCCATGGTCCTATAACATGTACCATTGAGCCATCCATGGTCCTATAACATGTACCATTCAGCCATGGTTCTATGGTCCTATAACATGTACCATTCAGCCATGGTCCTATAACATGTACCATTCAGCCATGGTCCTATAACATGTACCATTCAGCCATGGTCCTATAACATGTACCATTCAGCCATGGTCCTATAACATGGTCCTATAACATGTACCATTCAGCCATGGTCCTATAACATGTACCATTCAGCCATGGTCCTATAACATGGTCCTATAACATGTACCATTCAGCCATGGTCCTATAACATGTACCATTCAGCCATGGTCCTATAACATGTACCATTCAGCCATGGTCCTATAACATGTACCATTCAGCCATGGTCCTGTAACATGTACCATTCAGCCATGGTCCTATAACATGTACCATTCAGCCATGGTCCTATAACATGTACCATTCAGCCATGGTCCTATAAACATGGTCCTATAACATGTACCATTCAGCCATGGTCCTATAACATGTACCATTCAGCCATGGTCCTATAACATGTACCATTCAGCCATGGTCCTATAACATGTACCATTCAGCCATGGTCCTATAACATGTACCATTCAGCCATGGTCCTATAACATGTACCATTCAGCCATGGTCCTATAACATGTACCATTCAGCCATGGTCCTATAACATGTACCATTCAGCCATGGTCCTATAACATGGTCCTATAACATGTACCATTCAGCCATGGTCCTGTAACATGTACCATTCAGCCATGGTCCTGTAACATGGTCCTATAACATGTACCATTCAGCCATGGTCCTATAACATGTACCATTCAGCCATGGTCCTATAACATGTACCATTCAGCCATGGTCCTATAACATGTACCATTCAGCCATGGTCCTATAACATGTACCATTCAGCCATGGTCCTATAACATGGTCCTATAACATGTACCATTCAGCCATGGTCCTGTAACATGTACCGTTCAGCCATGGTCCTATAACATGTACCATTCAGCCATGGTCCTATAACATGTACCATTCAGCCATGGTCCTATAACATGTACCATTCAGCCATGGTCCTATAACATGTACCATTCAGCCATGGTCCTATAACATGTACCATTCAGCCATGGTCCTATAACATGTACCATTCAGCCATGGTCCTATAACATGTACCATTCAGTCATGGTCCTATAACATGTACCATTCAGTCATGGTCCTATAACATGTACCATTCAGCCATGGTCCTATAACATGGTCCTATAACATGTACCATTCAGCCATGGTCCTATAACATGTACCATTCAGCCATGGTCCTATAACATGTACCATTCAGCCATGGTCCTATAACATGGTCCTATAACATGTACCATTCAGCCATGGTCCTATAACATGTACCATTCAGCCATGGTCCTATAACATGTACCATTCAGCCATGGTCCTATAACATGTACCATTCAGCCATGGTCCTATAACATGTACCATTGAGCCATGGTCCTATAACATGTACCATTCAGCCATGGTCCTATAACATGTACCATTGAGCCATGGTCCTATAACATGTACCATTCAGCCATGGTCCTATAACATGTACCATTCAGCCATGGTCCTATAACATGTACCATTCAGCCATGGTCCTATAACATGTACCATTCAGCCATGGTCCTATAACATGGTCCTATAACATGTACCATTCAGCCATGGTCCTATAACATGGTCCTATAACATGTACCATTCAGCCATGGTCCTATAACATGTACCATTCAGCCATGGTCCTATAACATGTACCATTCAGCCATGGTCCTATAACATGTACCATTCAGTCATGGTCCTATAACATGTACCATTCAGCCATGGTCCTATAACATGTACCATTCAGCCATGGTCCTATAACATGTACCATTCAGCCATGGTCCTGTAACATGTATTGTTCAGGGACCGTTCTATAACATGTATTGTTTAGGTATGCAAAGTTTTATTGAATGTCATCTTAACAGTTTAAAATCTGATAGACACACATATCAAAAATCAAAATAGTGTAATTATCAAGTTACCAATCCTAATGACTGTTTATCATATTACGTGTTAGCTATATAATACTCCTGTCTTTGTTGATAAAGGTACAAGGACATAACTCCCACACACCCTTAAGTTTGTCTCCAACTTCCTCTATGTGATTAACAGCTGTAAGATAATATAAACTGGAAAACATCCTGGTACAGAAAAGGCACTCAGTACACATGTGGAATGCTTAGAAGGCAGTAAAATCAGGGACCTTGTAGCTGCATGTTACAGTGTAAAATGTACATGTTATGTATGGGCATTACTGAGGACTCTGATTTTAGGGTTTTAAGCCATAGCAACCGCAATATTTGTCTATTAAAGAGTATCTAAGGGAAAATCAAAACTGATCTTAAAATACATGTTGATAATCCAGAGTGGTTTTTGTTGTTTATGTCAAAGTTAAACAAGGAAGCATCAGAATAAACTAGAAATTCTGTGGTAACTTGTGTCTTCTGTTGTTTAATAAGTGTTTACAGCCAAAGTCTTCATCCAGATTCATTAAAAGGCCTTGCATAGACTTTCAGAGGTTACTTTGCTGCAAATACAGAATTAATATTTGGTTTGAGCGTATAATACTACTGGGTATATATGCAGTCATGTTTCAGATTTGAAATTCATAGTACAATAATTTGGTTAGCTAAGAGTAGAAAGAGAATTAGGATGGGAGAGTCTGAGGCATGACAGAAGTAACCTTCACAAATCCAATGTGGTGTTTTTTAAACATGATGGTGGTGCCAATAAAAAAATATGCAGGTGCTGGCTTTTGGTTTTAACAAATGAAATTAAGCTGAAAGAATATACCTGCATACATGTGTCTCTGTGTGCTCCCTGCTATCAGCTAGACCTAAGCCAGCCAAATATCTGCTTGATCCTGCTATTGGCCAGGTCTAAGCCAGCCAAATATGTGCTTGATCCTACAATTGGCCAGATCTAAGCCACCCAAATATGTGCTTGATCCTGCAATTGGCCAGATCTAAGCCAGCCAAATATGTGCTTGATCCTGCAATTGGCCAGATCTAAGCCAGCCAAATATGTGTTTGATCCTGCAATTGGCCAGATCTAAGCCAGCCAAATATGTGCTTGATCCTACAATTGGCCAGATCTAAGCCATCAAAATATGTGCTTGATCCTACAATTGGCCAGATCTAAGCCATCAAAATATGTGCTTGATCCTGCAATTGGCAAGATCTAAGCCATCAAAATATGTGTTTGATACTATAATTGGCCAGATCTAAGCCACCCAAATATGTGCTTGATCCCGCTATTGGCCAGATCTAAGCCATCTTAATATGTGCTTGATCCTGCTATTGGCCAGATCTAAGCCATCCAAATATGTGCTTGATCCTGCAATTGGCCAGATCTAAGCCATGTATGCCTGTACCAGTTGACCTGTACCAGTCA